ATAAACAGCAGCAATAAAGAAATAAAGAAAGCTGTGGCCTTTTTTAGGATAGTGCATCTTTTAGTTATTTCTTGAAAATGTTGCCTCCGAAAGTGCTTTTTTTTTTTACAAACCTGTACTATTGCTCTATAAATCTTCAATTAAACTGAAATGAGTTTTCAGAGAATTTCTGCTCTCCATGATAATAAGATGATAATATGTATAGCTTAAGACCTCTGTTGATAGGAGATTAAACGCTGTAAAATTTGCACATGCAATTCGGCGCTTCACAAACTTATAAATACACCTGCACTGCACTTGAAAGGTATATACACATTTTATCGAGAACCGAGGATATTTGGAAAGCCTGAAGCATTGAATTTAGAGAACGTTGCACCTTACACCAACTGATATTGTAAAAAGCAACGCTATAATGCCACCAAGGATGATCCCATCTTTTTCTCTGGATGGTCTACCAATTATCAGGACATTAAAAACGGTAAGCTTTTGTGTTGTGAATGATTACCAGTAGCCCCGCCACAACATAAAATCGAACAAACAATGGTTTCCCCAACACTAAGAAACTCCCCGAAAAAGCAGCTATTCAAAACCTTTTCCGAGTAGAAATGTTGAAAAAAGAAGCCGTTTCCCTCGACTGGACGGATATTTTGTCCACTAATCTTGACGGAGCGTCACCATTAGATTAAACTATTCAATTGTTTTTCAGCAAAATGGAAAAAAAATGGTTAAAGGAGATTATTAGAACGCTAAATATTTCCGATTTAAGTTTTCCGCTAAAGGAGGCGCCACGGCAAATTGTTTCATTAAAAAGATAATAGCAAAGAAGTTTAATTCATTTCATAAAATTTTGTTAAATCACTTCAGCTACCACTCCCCCAAAACTAACCTTAATACGTACTTCTTACGTAGAGCAAAATGTTGGCTTAGGGGAGGGGTAGGTGGCCAGTTTCTCAGAAACTTAAATTGATTCGAAATTTGTTTCCTAAATATACGAGTGCCTTGACACTAAGCATGCCAGTCAACTCAACAGTGACTTCCAATTCTCTTGCGATGGAAGAGGCTATGAATTTCCAACATTGGACCTATGAGAAAACGAACTCAATCTAAGCAATACCTGAGAAATGGTATTGAGGGGGAAAACGAGCAAAGAAACGTCTGATCCTCAATAAAAAGAAAGCCTGAAAGGGCACACACACACTCTCCACCTGTGCTGTCCGTTTGCATTCCAAAACATCTGCTCTCATTTGTTGCGTCCATTTCACTTTTGATTTCGATTCCTGGACATTGTTGAGTCGGCAATAAATTTCGGTCGCAGTTTCAGTCATTAAATTATAAAAAGATTGCTTAACAAGCTGCAAGGAATCCTAAACACTTTACCGAATGAGCTCTAGGGTTCTAAAAATTGGCCTGCTTTCAATGACAGCGAACTTTATCGGAGCTTTTAAACCTCATCCGCACTAGTCGTCGACCATAATAATAGTAATATTATTATTATTATTTGAAATAAACCGTTTTTTAATTGTATTTTTTTTTTCGAATATATGATATATTTTTAATGGAATGAATTTTTTCAATCGAAATTAAGTGTCTTTTTTTTAATTGAAAGGAATAATGTAAATAGCGCTTTGACTCAATAGTTTTTTAAGTGAAATTAATTGCAAATAGGATTTTATAGTTAGCTTTGTTATCGATAAAAGATTTTGGTATTATTATTTATTATTATTATTATCATTATTATTATTAATTGTTTGCAGATACAATACAAACTAAATTTTAGTCGTGACGACGTTACAGCTTTATCAATGATGGCTAATTTGGAAGAATTTTCGCGATTTAGCAAATTTGCTGCGGAAATATATATTTTCTCCCAAGTAGCGTTTTCGCCGTATATATCGAGTCAAATGACTTTCTAATGATCTCGTTTTCTAAAGATCCTTAAACCTGATTCATTTTGACCAGATAGAAACGTGAACAAAACTGACCTCTGAAATAGAAAAGAAAAAACAAACAAAGGCTTTTATTTTTGCTAGCCTGCGTAGCTGGCGGTATTGTGTAGTAGTCGAGTGAGATTTGGCGGCCGAGCCGTTGTAATATAGTTGAGTGAGATTTGACGGCGGAGCCGTCACGAGCGGCGAAGCCGCGAGAAATACCGCCTGCCAGAGAACCATGATTTTTCGAATGCCGCCCACTTTTGTCGCCTCAGCTGATCCCAATTAAAGCAGCCAATCAAAGAAAAACCTGCAATTTGAAAATTCCGATTATTTTCGCGCGAGACAGTTTAGAAATAAGCGTGGACAGGCTAAACACGACTCCTAAGCTCGTGATAATGTGAAACGTGACCTTGTGAGTTTGCTTAAAACCGAACATTATGTCGCGACATAATGTAATTTATATCGAGGCGTGGTGCGCACGTGATTTTCCGCTGGGGTTGGCTTGTACCAGGCACGGATTCGATACTAGCATTAGTTTGGCCAATCAGGTTTAAGTAGGTCACATGCCTAGTATATGAAAGACAGTTCCAGCGGGATATTATATCAGATTGAACAGATCCCCAGAAAAACTTTTTCCCGCCTCCTCTCCATTTCACCACCTCCCAGCGATTTATCACCTTTAATCCATCCTGTCGCTTCGATAGTATCACTTTTTAAGGCTGGCGGTATTTTGTCGCCCCATTTGTGAATAAGACATTATATACGAAAATGTTTACTGCTGTGTTTGAATTTTGCTAATTGTTCGATTAAACCTAGCCACAATCGTGGCCAAATTTATTCCAACAAAGTGGTTTCTTATTGCTACTTCCGGGGAATTAGCTCTTAAGTGGTTTCTCAACAAAGCTCGCCCCTTTTAAGTGGGTCACTTTAGATCATATTTGACATGAAAACACGGCTCGATATGAACAGAGGTTTTTCTTATTTTCTCGGCTCTCGCGCGAAGGTTACTAACACTACACAGTGCATATATCATTCTAAACTTTGACTGAGTAAATCCCTTTTTGCCACACCAGGCTTAACATTAAAAGATCATGAAGCTGGTTTGTTACATGCATACTGAGTAACCATTTCCTGTGTTTTATTCTTCTGAAGGTGTTCCCGATATTAGGATTTGATCTCAGATGCAGTTGTAAAGTGTTTTAATTTTCTTTGACAATTCCCGCGCTGTGAAGTTTAAAGACGCCATATCGGCAATTTGGTCATCAATTATGCTCTTTTTAAAGAGGAAACCTCAATCACTTACGTCTTTTCCAGTTTGCCATCTGCTCTCTTAACTGGGAAATATATGCGAAGGATCATCTAACATGATTTACATATGTATGGCCCTCGACCAATCCGTTTCTCTGCACACTGTTGTGCGGACTATTCAAAATACCGGGGTTTTCTGGCAGGCGGTATTTCAACCACCTCGTCCCTTCTCCCTTTTTTTGGAACGGCTCCGCCGCCAAAACGTTTATCTCGCACCCAAACAATACCGCCAGCTACGCAGGCTATATTTTTGCCGGCTTCGTTTCTGGTTATATATTTTTTATTTATTTATTTTACACCACTACTTTTTGCGTAATTAAGACTACAGCATTACCTTCAATTTAAGATAAAATTCACAATACCATAATTACAATATAATAATATAGAGAATATTACTTGGCCGCGCGACGATACGAAATTTCTCTTCGAGAGCTGAAATATTTTTTTCAACAAGAGAAGAGAAATTTCGTATCTCCAAGCGACCATGAAATATTCTATTTATTATATAAACACCAATGAATACCAAATCATTTTGCTTAAATAGTTTTTGGTTTGAAAGGTGCGGTTTATCAGTGATGAAGCCATAGCAATGGTGATATTTTCACATGTGAAGACATCAAGTTTTCGCGCGAGAGCTCACTTGGTATTTCATGTAATATATCAAACATGAGATGCAGTGTTTCATCACCAGATGAAACACCGAGAAGAGAGTTGAAAATACGACGCGCAGCGGAGTATTTTTGACGAACTTCGAGGTGTTTCATCTGGTGATGTACAAAATCATTTTTGAAGGAGAAATTAAGGATGCAAATACTAAGCAGTGTTTCATCCGATTTCCAAACACTCATTAAACATTAATTTCCTTTGTATTTTCTTAATGAATTATTAATGAGTTTGAGAATGATGTTTATATAATAAATCTTAATCTTGAATAACAATACATTATGAGTTGAACAAGAACAGTTTCATAAAATAGGTAATATAGAAGGATCAAAACAGTGAGAGGTGAGGAGACCTCAGAAACTGGCCAAAGCTGCTTGTACAAGGAGGTCTCCCCATGATATGGTCATTGATTGAAATAATTTAGGACTGGGGGGCAGCAGAAGAATACAATAGACTTCAGTCTGTTTCAAAGGTACGAGAAAGGAAATCACGAAGACGCTTTTTACAATTAGCAAAACAGGTGGAACTTGAGACGGATAATGGAAGGGAATTCCATATTTTTGGACTCAAGTACAAAATGGTCATATGATGACATTTCTCTGACAGAAGACTGTCGGGAAAAACACGGCACCTCACGCATGGATCATACGTGACAATATCCGCCGCGCCTAGGCTTATGGAGAAAAGTGTCAAGGAGAGCTCCACACAATTGCTTAGAATATAAATTTAAGGCGCCAAGGAATTGTATGGGGCTCTCCGGGATACTTACAGTGCAAGCCCTGTGCTTCTCATGCTTTCAATCAAGGCCCTTCTAACTTGGAAACTCATTTTGACTTACTACTACATTAAGCTAGTTCTAGTGTAAATTTTGTGGTTATTTGCAAAATAATTCAACTGCTCTATTTGATAGCTTTTAAATAAGTCATTATTTTGGGGAGGCGCAATTTACAATGTGGATTTGGTAAAAAAAATTGAACGTGTTCTCATTGATTCAAAGGACGCATGTATTCATACAGGAGTATCAATGAAACTATAACACGAATGCAAGTTGAGATTTTTGATCTCGATCAATCAGGTATGACAGGTGAATAATTCACAATGGAAGGGTCAGAAATAAACATGCAAGAGCTGTTGGTTGATGGTGTTTGTCCGCCAAATTACAATCTACAACTTCAACTTTTCGAAGCCACAAGAAAGGGAGATCTTTCGAAAGTAAGAAGCTTTTGTCAGCTAAACTGTGATCTAGATTGTGTTGACAGTTCTGGAAAAACCCTTTTACAGGTTGCTGGATATCTGGAAAATGTGTCTGTTCGAAAAGAAATTATGAAAGCACTTCTTAGTAGTGGGGCTGACTTGAAATTCGTGTTACTAAATGAGCTAGTTCGTGATAGCAATGCGCAAATGGTGGAAGTCCTTCTTCAATTTCACAAGCCAGCACTTGGTTCATCCCTAAAAAAATACGTAAACCCGCTGATTCCTGCGGCATGTTTGCAGAATTTTGAAATCATTACAATGCTGTTGGAGAATGGATTCAGCATTAGTGATCCAAAAATTGCTCAGTTGTCGTCAGACTCCAATACTGTGTGCAACGAAAAGTTTGAACCCGCCGTGTACCGTTCTATCGAATACCGCGCACTTGCAAGCCCCGTATTTATCGTGGCGTCTTTTCTTCACGACGTCTACAATGGTCCAGATCCCATTTATCGTGCATGCGTCCTGCACAAAGAACTGCGTGAAGTAGCTGAGCATGAATACGAGTTAAAAAATGAGTATTTTCAGCTCAGTGATGCCATTAAAGAGTTTTCGGTGGATCTTTTGAAAGAATGCCACACGATGGAGGAGATAAGATGCGTGATGGAGATGCAGGACATACATGACAGTGTACTGCATGTAAATGGGAGTTTAAGCATGCTTAAGCTCGCTATAAGTACTGGGAATGACAAGGTAGGGTCTCCTTCTTTCCACCTTTTCAACTGAAATCAGCCTTTTGGGCTTAATACTCGCTGTCAGAATCTTTGTTGGCGAAAAAATGAGTCGCTATTACAAATAGTTTGCAAACAAAAGGGGACAGCACATTACCCTTGCATCAAAATTCTGGTTAAGAGCCTGTTAAGCTTGGTGAATCAGACGTACCACACAGGCTTTGAAAATGAAAAGTTAATTTGAAAGCCGGGCTAAGCCTGGTTTTAAAGAGCTTTCGTGGTAAGCCGGATTGAAATTTACAGGCTATGAAAGTCTGGTAACTCAGGTTTCGACTGGATCTTCTCAACCAGAAATTCTTAGTTAGTCTATTACCAGGCTTTCCTGGTAGGCCTAATTGGAATTTATACCTGGTTGAATTGAAACCTTAAAAGCTTCGTTAGCCTCGTTGGTAATGACAAATCATAAAATAACGCAGAACAAAAGGTAGACCTTGGCACTTATGATAAAATGAAAGATATCGGGTCGAGAGGCAAGATCTTGGCTGAAAAATACATGTTTACACGCGGTAGCTTAGCGGTTTATGTAAACTGAGCTGGAGAAAAATGACGGTATGTACACGCTATGTAAACACTAAATAGCCGAACTGCTGACCAAAAACAGATCCAAAATTACAAAACTATCACCCGACAGATGACAACGGTGCTGTAATTGAACAATATCTGTTAGACTAGATATTCCTTTCAGGATGATTCTTCCTGAAACTGTTGGAAAATAGTTTGAAGAATGACTTTGCATTGATCGAGTTCTGGCATGTTTCTAAGTTGAAAATATTCTAAGCGGTGAATAACAAAGCAGTTAGCCTATTTGGCTTTTGAGTTATGATATGAAGAATTAATGCGCATTTCGGAATACTTTAACCTTGATCTGCATAGTTCTTCAGATGCTGTCATCAAATGACTGATTGAGACAGTAAAATTAAAACTAGCTAAAAGCCTAAGCAATACGTACGACCAATAGCTTCATTGTGTCATTCAATGCCTTTTTTTTCGTAGTTCTCTTCAATTTAGTTCATATGAACAGCTTTTTCGAACTAACAACTTTTACTCTTCTCCATTTCATAGTTTGTCAGCCATCCTTTCAGCCAGCTGATATTAACTCAGAGGTCTACAGAAATGCTTCATTCCTGGAGAAAAGTGCCTGGAAACAAGCAGCGCTTATACTACTGGCAGCTCTGTCGTATCCATTGCTATTTTTGGTTTGGCTAATTTTTGACAGCTGTTTTCCAAGTCACAATCTGGCCAGAATTTTTCGCTCGCCCTGTTTTAAATTTCTCATCCATTGCGGCTCCTACCAAACTTTTCTTTTCTTGCTAGCTTTTTCTGCGTTTGTTTCGAAGAGCGAGTTTCTGGCCTACGGCATTACAGGTAAATGAAATAAGAAGGACCTTAGAATAATGACTAAAATGAATAATTAGTTAAGAAAGACAGTCAAGTCGTTTTAAAAAATATTATTAAAACAAAAGAGAACCAGAGATGTCTTAAACAGTCGAGCCTAATCGTCCAAAGAATGTATTATGACTTGCTAGAATATTGTGTCCAAGAAAGATTTGACTTGAACCAGAAACTCATAAGGGGTTGAAACGTGTATTAAACTCGCGTTCAATTCTCTTGAATATTCACTTTTACCATATTTGGAAACCTTAGTGACAGATATTCATTTTCAACAAAATGGCTGCCGCGCGATCACCATGCATATGCTTTAAGACAAGAGTTCTGCATTTCAAGGTTTAAAGTACACCGTTAAAAGACAAAAAATGGAAAGAGAAAGATCCAAAGAATGCTCAGCTTTCTTTTTTTGGAGGAAGGGAAGCTTTTCATCAAGAAATCGTCTTCAAGGAATTCAACCTTGTTTTCTTCTCGACGGAGCGCATGGTCTGTTTTGAAATGCAACCAAGGCAGTGAAGTTTTTCAGGTACATTTTGCACTCTATGGCCAAGACAATTACGTTTTTGAAAGGGAATTTATGTATTTTTAAATGTTTCATAGACGTTTTATAAATTTTTCTCTTCGGCGCTTAAGAGAAAAATTACAAAATGTGCCCCGATTTGAGATGGATACTGTGTTGAATTTTGCCAGTGCTCCGCCGATTTCACTTGCGTGAACGGATCCACGATCCAGATAGTGTTTTCCGAATTGCTTTAAAGGACTAACTTTTTGGACTTAAATAAAAATTTTCAAGAAACGGATTATCTGTCTATTCTTTTGAGTTTGTTCATTCATAAAATTAGCTCAAAACACGATCGTGACTACAACATCCAAGCTGAATTTAAGCTTAAATGCTTCTCACATTCATTACACGCATCACTTTTTGCGAAAATGTCAGGTTCAGGTTTTGGACTCTTCTCGATACGCAGCTAATGATTTTCTTCGAAAATGTTTTTTACTGTTTATTCTAGACTTTTAGTATAAGAATTTTAAAAGCCTATAGTTTACTGTGCACAGGGTCAACGAGGCATCGTTTTTTGAAGTGACAACTTCAAGTAGTTGCGAGGACGTTAGTGGGTTTCATAATGTTACGTTTGGCCCGGGTGGTAAGGCAATAATAGGGAACTTAAGAACCACGACGACGACTTTGTCGACGACGGCCGGAAGTGAGATACCGTGCACTGCGCAAGCGCAGTTAACAAATTTCGTCGTCGTGGTATCGTCGACGACGCCAAACACAGTAGAATCACGTCGTCCTGCAATCCACAAGCTTCGGCAGGTATAACTCCCTGTTTTTAAGCGATTTTTCAAGGGCTTTGTATTTTTTCACCTCGTAAATCCAGGTATCCTTTCTTTTTTCTCCTAACAAGCGATGTTGATTGAAAATTTGACTGATGAATTGTGTTTACTTCGAAGACAACACTGAGCTGTGCAGGCTTAGCGAGCGAACTCGTGAGTGACAAATTTATTTGTACGTATTTAGGTCAGGCAAATCATATATCTTAAATATAGTGGAAATGAACTTCATATGGAAAACAGCTATCGCATCGGAATGTCTGTTTTTCCAAATCTAAATTGTGACAGACACTCGGACTCGGTCATGTCATTCAAGTTGAAAGTTGAATAACATTCGTACGGAAAGCAGAGATTTTTCCATTCGAAAATGTCAGACAACACTAAAAATTCTTCATCGTCAATGAAAGTAGACGTACAGCTTATAAAATGAGATCTTGCATCGTCTTAAAAGACGCCTTTGCGAAAAAACTTTGTTGCGAACGAACATCACAGTCTACATGTTTGTTTACATTCAGTGTCGTCGACCTACCGATCGACTGCATCTTAAGTTTCCTTTTTGCCGCCGAAACTGACGTTCTCGTTCCAGTCCTTTCCCAGTCAACAGACGTCGTCGTCGTGAACTTCGTCGTGGTTCTTAAGTTCCCTAATATCCTGCTCAGTGTTTCGGTAAGATTACCGGTCTCAACCTTTGAAAGCTTTCTCGGCATTCGGGAGTTTTCATCCCGTTTGTCAGCCATTTTTTTAAGTGGGCGTGGGAACCTGAAGTAAAATTACGTCACGTTGTTTACGAAGTTTGATTGGTCAGTTATCTCTTCTTCTCGTTCCAAATATGGTACTTTCGAAAATGAATAATCAGGAGCATCGGACAAAAGTAAACATATGAGAGTTACACGTTTCAACCCCTTATGAGTTTCTGCTTGAACTAAATACAGGCTCTCTATTGGTTGAGATGAATTTATTTTTAACAACCATTTCTCCTTTTCTTCGAAGACTGGATTGTTGTCGCATACGTCATTGGGCACCTAATAGACGTCATCAGAGACGCTTATCGACAACGGAAAGTTCATTTCTTCTCTTTCTACTGGAACTTCGTGGCCCTTGCTTTGGTGACGTTACTTGCTCTCCACCACGTCATTTGGTGGGTAGGTCTATCAATTCTTAAAGAACAGCCACCTCCAATGACATGGGAAAGCCATGCTGATAATCGTGGATACAAAGTCATCCTTGCCTCGTACTGCATTCTCGCAGTGGCAATCCTTTTGGCTTTTGTTAAGAACCTGTCATTTTTTGAAGCCAACTCTATAACTGGTCCACTACTTCAAGCTTTCATACGGATGATTATAGATGTAGCCAAGTTCTTCCTGTATTTTATTTTCGTCTTTCTGGCGTTTGCTATCAGCCTTACAAACCTGTACTTGCAGTATGACAAAGCCAGAGAACATTTCCACCCGAATAATTCAGGAACAAGTCAAGGCGATGCCCTTGATCTACAAAGGTGCGTATAACTGACAGTTGTCTACACTTCTAGAGACATACAAGTTTAGCAGTCTACGAATAAGGAGGAGGAAGGAAAAAAAAGCACTTTATTTGAGTGTCAATGTATTTAGCACGAAAGTACTAATTGGGACACTATATTTTACGTCTCCAACTGGAGAAGGGACCGCCATTTCACGTGGTCATCCGAGCCACGCGAAGGTCTAGCCTGTTGCAGTGCAAAGGGAGTACCTTCATTTCTCGGTTATTTTAAGACCCTGAGTATTGGTCCGGCCCCAGGAATCGAACCCACGACCTCCTGCTCTGCAGTCAACACGCTCTACCGACTGAGCTAACACTGCCGCGGAAAACCAAAAATGAGGGGGAAAGGAGTGGGGTGGGTTAGCAAACACTCATCATCAAATATATTCGGTTACAGCCAATAAAGCTAGTTTTCAGTAACAACAAATGCCTCGAGAAATACACGTAATTTAACAACTGGCTCTTGCGTCAGCGTGCGTATGGGGAGATGTGAAGCATGCGGGAAGTTTGGAGAGCACGAAAGAGGCGTAAGAGTTGCTCGAGTAGTAGCCCAGAGCAACTATAGGCTCTTGACATAATCTTCGACATACGTACCGCTGAAGCATAATCCAATTGTTTTATAACATAAATTATCAATGCGATCAATGCAGCAGCAGTCAACTAAAAATTTTATTTTTTATTATTTTTGAGCGTACTTTAATCAGTACGCGTTATATTTAGGTGACAATATTCTTTCACCTCAGTTATCTTTTTATGTTAACTGAGAGAAAGTTTACTCAAGTCACTTAAGATAACATTAGGTTTTAAAATCCGTAATGAAGTGGAAAACAATTAATTCACCATTTTAAAATAGACCATGATGCAATTTGTTACCCCCAAAATTTTGTATAACCATTGTTTTGGATTTCTCTTGAAAACAATGGTTATGTAAAATTCTAGGGGGTAAACAAGGTGCTTAGGGTCTTTGTGAAAGTAGTAAATTCACCAAAAAAATTCATTTTCAGTGAAAACGCACACTCCACAGCCCGCTAATCTCACGCAAGATTACAACACCGGCAGCAACACTCACCTCATTTTCCTCCTTTCGGTTAACATATTCAAAAGTTTTCCCCTACACTTGGGTTATAAACGCTTCATTGTGCAATTAATGATGCATGAATTGCTAAGCTCGCACGAAGTCGAGTTTTTAGTTTATTGACGTCATCAGCATGCACGATGGGGATATGAAGCGCGCTCGCCCTATTGAATTTGATTAGGCGACTATTCTAGATATGTTATAAAATTTTGTGGTTCACAGCAATAAAGGGAAGAAACAATGCACCTTATACTGCTTTAATAGGTTGGCACGTAGATTGGCGGTGGTTTTTACAACCTTGCAAATGGCAATGGAGGATGAATGAGACAATGTCTATGAAGCAATGATGATCTCTCAATAATTTTTGTGGGTTGTTTACAGCGATTACTGTATTTCATTCGCAGATTTGGAAATAGCATGAGCACAATCTTTTGGACGATATTTGGTCTCATAGATGAAGACAGTTTTCAAATAGACGTCAGTGGTTACGGTGCTATATGGAAGACAGGCATGACATTGTTTGCTGCGTACAATATCATCATCGTTATTGTGGCTATCAACATGCTGATTGCCATACTTAATGAGTCATACACCCGGATAACGGTAAGATGTCACTTAAAGAGTGTCGGAACGATCCTGTAACCGAAAGTGTAGAAAATTTTCATGCAATCACGGATCAGGCCTCAGAACTTTTTGCTCTAACCATTATATTTTTGCTGATATTTGCAAGCATATCATTAAAACTTGACAAAGTTGCCTCACCTTTTTCAACTTTCAATCTATATCCATCCTTTCCATCCGTGGCACCAGAAGCCACGGGAAAGGGTTTCATTGCCTAAATATAGGCTTGATGCCATGACATGTTTTAGCTCTTTAAAAAAGATAGCACATAGCCTGACATTAGCCCCTTTAAAAGACAGCGTGAACCAAGAATAAGAATATTTTAGAACCCTTTCAAAAGAACAGGATGTTTTAACGATTCAAACCTGGCGCTTTGCAAGGTAAAGGTATCCTCTCCACCTCAGTCAATTAATCTAAGACTCTAAGAAAAAGGATGGAAAGCCGAAACCTCCTGATCTGTATACTGAGATTAGCTATAGTTCCTTGGACACGAATTGTTCACTGGGATCGCAAGATCGACAACTCGTACCAACAAAAATTCTTCAAGCACCACAAATTGAATGACGTTTAGAGGTACCTGAGGTATAATCAGTTTGAAATTTGTTGTACAGGAAAACTTGGATACCGAGTGGAAGTTTACAAGGACAAGAATATGGTTAAGCTGGATCTACAAGGACGATGTTCTTCCACCACCATTTAATATTCTGTATGTGCTACTACCAATCTGCTGGTTAATTACACATCTCGTCGCAGTCTGTTGTCCTGAAAACCTGGCGAGTAACAATTCATTAAAATCGAGAGTTTAAATAGGATACATATATGGGGCACTGGTCCCTCGTTGGCTTTTGTAAATGCCGGTTACATGACAATGTAGGTTTCCTGTTGATAGGATACGAAATAAATTCTGTTAATTATAATTCGAAGGAAAACGGATGCTTGCATATTTATAAAAGGAACTTCTCGAGAAGGTGATGTGTTAGCTCTAATACAGGTGACACCGTTGTTTTGTAACCTGGTTTTTAAAATTAATTGCACTCGTTTTTGTGTGAAATGAAGAAATCATTAATGCAACGTATGAGTGAATCTAGCAAGATCTATTTAAACTCCCTAATGCCGGTATAAATAGGTGAATATTGTCAGCATAGAAACTAATAAGGGTTTTCCCACTCTTTCAGCCATGCCAACTAACCAAAGTGAGGTCTAGAGGATGGAACGCAAAAGTTAAACGAATTGATGGAAAGAAGGTAAGTGCCACCCGGATTTCAAAACGAAGCATCATTGAGACAATAGTTGGTTGATAATTATGGCAAACGATGGATTCAATCTCAATAACACGTGTTCCGAGGCTTTTTCACTTTCTACTCAGACTTTTAAGGCGCATTTAAAAAATTCTCAATGCGTGTTTACAATGTTAAATTAATTCCTAATGAACTGTTTATTAATATTTCTTTATTTCTAAAAAGAAAAGTTTGAAGTTTTAGGATTAGGCAAACTGTTCCAGATTTTGCATGTCACACTATGCATTTTTTCATTTTCTATGCTTGTTTTTTTTTTATTATTATTTTTGTCATTTTTTTAGAGAAGAGAGATCTTACGTCAACTTGTCCTGAGGTATCTGGCAAAGAGATCACGTGATTCAGATAATGGAATCAAGCCAAGCGTCTCTGTAGAACTTGCCTGCAAGCAGGCTATTCAGATTTAGAAATTCCTTGAAGGCTGTCAGCCAAACCTTAGGCAGCTTTGATCATAGGGAAGTACGTGAAATACGAAAAAGCGCTCGATCACCAATCCGCAAAAAAAAAAATTCACGCAAAACCTAAACTAGTGTCTTTATTGACGGCAAATATCTTCATGATGATAGCCACTCTTAGATTAAGCTGAGATCAGGCCCAATTTGAGCGGTTCTCATACATTCTCTCTAAAGGCTACCGCTGAAATTGGGCCTGATACAAACTCATTCACGTTTGTGCTCGTTACGGCCAAATTTTGGCCGTAATGCTGATTGGCTGTTAGAACAATGCCACAAGATCTGATTGGATGTCGGAAACGCTGGAAGTTGAAAGCGCTTTTTCCTCGCGTGGTTGTTTTCGTGAATGATCCGTCGTCGGCGGAGAGAAGGATCGATTTTGCTGTCTTTTTTATTGTTTTATGGTCTTATGGTAGGAAAATATGCCTTAATATGTGCCATGGAAATTTAGAAAATTCATATGGTTGTTCTTATCTTCTCAGGATTTGCTTTATTTACGGAAAGTGAGTGTATCGGGGAGTTGAATCCCTATACAAGTTGTTGACCGCTAACAAGGTGCATTTTGATTCACCAACAAACGGGTGCAAATCAAAATACTGTCCATCTTAAAACTGGTTTCATTTGAAAGTTTAGCCGGGAATGACTTCTCTGAACGGGGTACGCAAGCGGAGGCTCACTGCGAAAGAAACCTCAATCGCTAACTGTGAAGTATTAGACGAAAATTATAGCATCGCTGTTCAAGGAATTTTCAGTGTTCACAGACTGGTTGTTTGCCTTCGCTTTTTGTAAAAAATAAACCAAGAAAACTGGTGTCCTCGCTCGTTGGCTGTTTGCTTTTGTTTTTAAAGATTTACTGAGAATCGGGGAAAATTGCCGAGGAAAATATTAAGACAACGTTCTAAGACGCTTAGAACTTTTTTCAGCTCGACTGCCGGTCAAGGTTTTCAAAACACTAAATGGCCGGTAGTCCCATATTCTCAGTAAATTTCACAAATCGAAAAAAATTCAGCCGTACGTTGTGAACTATTATAAGTCGTGATCCTGATCAAAGTCTCTACGCGTTAGTTCCCTTCTGGAGCTGAAATACACTTCAACATTATCTTGTCGACGTTATGATGGAACAAGCTGCGGCTCCAAAAGGGAACTAACGCGTGGAGACTTTTCCCGCCGGTTTTCCGCGGAGGCCGCATGAAAGGTCAAGATGTTATGACGTCAAACGTAGCCTGTCGAGCCATGCTTTGGACAGAAAATAGTAACGAACATCCAAAGACTCGAGACCAACAAAAACATGATTTAGAAATCCCACAAAACCAGCTGGTTTGATCAGGATCACGACTTATGATAGTTCAGAACGGCCGAGTTTTCTCGATTTCTGAAATTTACTGAGAATATGGGACTGCCGGCCATTTTAGGGTGGCACCCCCTGAACGAAGGCTGTGACCACTGATGCGGGATGGGTCTAAACTTGCTGTGGAAGCCACTGATTTAAGAAGGCTGTCGAACTTGGCATATGTGAATGGTATTAGGCCCCTCCCTGAGGGTGCTGGCAAGACGAAGGCTGGACCAGACAGGGTGGCTGGCACAAGCTTGAAGGCATGCTGTAGTGCAGAATAGGGACACAGTGGGTGACCTGGGATGAGAGGTAGTGGAGCAGTAAGGAGACGTTGACTAAACTGGATGGTTTTAGACCAGCGGTTGATGACAATGGCCCAGCCTGGGTAGAACACAATGTCACTTCGCCTAAGGTGCTTTAAAGGGTTGAACTTGGCAACACCCTTCAACAACATATTAACTTTGCGAAGAAGTCCAAAAAAGCCTGTTAAGCAGACAGCCCAAAAGGTGGCATGGACCGGGTCTGTCAAGTTCAAATGTGACTTGATAGCCAAACGCATTGCAGGGGTCATGGGTTGTTTCTGTGAGAATGTGCAGCTTTTGCAGCGACGTATACCACGCAAGGTTGTTGCTTAGTGGAAGTTATTCTTGGTAGGGTCTTCCAGGCTATGTTCCAAATGGAGAATACGGACAATGTTAAGATAAGCTGGAATAGAGGAAGCAGACAAAGAGCGTGCCAAGAAAGCTGCGTAGCGGCTAAGTGTGATGGTAGACGCTGGAAGTGGCCGGTACCCATGATATACGCAAAAGGTAAGATAGGCTCGCAGTTGACTTGTGTAAGTGGCCTTGGTGGAGGTTGCATAGGCTTGTTTTCGAAACTTAAGAACCTCCATGTCCAATCCTGACTGAGCGTCTGGATCTGAGGAAAGCAAGTGACAAAGGTGACATGTGAGACAATAAATCTTGAGTAGAGGAAGAGGACCGTGAGAGCCATGCGTGAAGTGCGTGTCGGTGGCATTTTTCATCAAGTCTAAAGGTACTGTCGGCAATAACAGTGGCTGAACCAGGCATGTGCTCAACGGTTAGTTGGATAGCATAGTACTGTGACAACCAGAAGAGCTCCCGGAGCCAATCCATCATGATAGGACAGGGGGTGGTTCCTTTGTTTACAATTGCTGCAGCAACTTCACTATCTGACTTGACCACAACCCTTTGTCCTGACCAGGATGGGGTCCACCGTTTGGTTGCCTGGAGAACCATGAAGGTTTCTTTGTAGTTGATATGCAGGGGGCAGATATTTGGGAAATCTAGTGCCCAGTTAACGTATAGCCAATCATTGTGCCAACAACAGCCACCACCTGCAGGGGAAGCATCAGTATAGGCTAGCCCAGATGTCATAGGTAGCTCGTAGGGGAAGAGGGATCTGCAGTTGAAAACAGGAAGAAGGGATGCCCACCAATGAAGGTCTGCTCTTGCTTGGGTATTAAGGTAAACATGATGGTGACGATGTTTTGCAGAGTTCATTACAGTAATCAAGCGTCGCAAAAAGGTCCGGCCCCCTCTGACGACCCGAGCAGCCCAGCTTAGTTTTCCAACGAGGCTTTGAAGGTGATGTTTTTGGGACTTGCACTTGGTTAAGGTTAACTTCAAAATGTCTAATAGCTCAGAGACGCGGACCCTGGGGAGCCGTAGTACACGATTCACTGTATCCATTTCGACTCCCAGAAAGCACAGGGATTGGCTGGGTTGAACAACCTTTGACCAGTTTATTGTGAAACCAAGTGACTGAAGTAAATCGAGGAGGGTGTCCACAGCGATTTGACACTGCTGCTGACTGGGTTCTATGATGAGGAAATCATCCAAATATGCAAGCACTGTGAAACCTCGTCGGGTCATCATTCTACAAACTGATTGGGTAAGGCGGTGGAAAACCATAGGAGAGGTTCGAGCACCAAAGGGAAGGCGTTTATCAAACAGGAAAGTGATGTCGGTTGTACCCTGAAAAAGCCAAGACATGCCAGTGACGTTCCGTGCAGACGCTGGGGTGAGTACCAACACTTCGATAAGCATGTTTTAAATCAATCTTGGCCAACCAAAAAGCTGGTTTGGCTTTGCATGCTGCCTCATCTATTGTAGTATATTTGTAGTGGTCAAGGTCCATGTAGGAGTTTGCACTCAATGCAAGCGGTCGACTGCAATCCATAATCAGTCTCAACTCTGAAGAGTCCCTTTTGGGTACAGCTCCAATAGCATTAACAATGATGGGGGGTGTGTTTGATGAACCAAAATGGCCTAGTGAGAGGCCCTTACATAGTTGCTCTTCAATCTGCTCTTTGGCCCCTGGCCTGAGCGCCGATCTGTTTTTCTTTGTCAAAGCTGGTAAAACAGTAGTATCTCGCGGAATCAAGTCAAATCCTTCTCGTACACCATTGAGAATAAAGTCTCTGTCCAAATCATTAGCTAGTTCCTTTGCCCATATCTCATATGTTAAGTCTGTGGAAATACAGGCTGCATCGGGCTGCTGCGCATAACATGAGGGCCCTGTTGATTGGTTGGTGTCAGTAACACACTCTACTGTTTCTAAACTAACGTATGGTTATTTCGCTGCTATAGGTGATGCAGTCGAGCTATCCCCTGCAAGTGGCTCCACTAAAGGATTGAGGCGAGAGTGTGTTCAGGCTTTTGGGTAGTGAGTAGCTGTGTGCTTCCATTGGGGGTGATCCCCCAAACACTGTGGCTTTATACAAACATGGTCATACTTGCAAGCTGTGCCATAGCTGCAGCCTTGTCGTCTTTGGAAGTCATAGCACACCTGCTTGCCTGTGGTCGGGTTGATAGTTGGCGTTGATCTACCTGGAGGACGGTTTGCTTGTTTGGTTGAGCCAGGCTGGTTTGTGTCAGGCTTGTGGAGGGATTGCTGGTAGATAAACTAACTCTCTGTACCCCATTTACAACCAGTGGCGAATTGCATTCGTCGATAAAGGTCATCGTAGTGGACGACACGGGCCAGCGATTAAATCTTGGCCAGCTCTGAGACTTTGGTGCTATACGATATGTAATTCATAATGTCTGACATAGTTGACAAGGCACCTTTTTTGACAAGTGTGTGCATGATCCTGAAGTTTGCTGCTGACCATTGTGGAAAGGTGATGCTGTTGAGTAGGGGCTTTTTCTCATGGCTAGTTTTTAATATGATTTGAGTGCCACCAGAAGCACCAAGCACGGTCTCTCGGTCCTCTTCCAGAACCACTGGGAGGAAACTGACAAAATCTGGAATTAGCAGGGGACGTTTACCTCTGGGGGTGGTGCTGGGTTCCAGTAGTTTTTGCGCTGGATCCGCCAATTCGTCAGAAAGACCAAGAAGAATTGGGTCCCCTAGTGACTCTTCTAAGGCTTTAAGCTCCTCCTGAACCGCTTTGTCAGATTGCAACGCAGTTAGAGTGGGTACAGTCGCTCTTTGGGTCGTACACTGGCCTTAATTTTGTGTGTTGACGTTCGCCGGGTTTGGGGCGGCCATCTTGGATTGACTTTCGTGTGCCATCGCGGACTTAACCCGAGCAAGGTCAATTTTGGCTCGTGTCAGTTCAAGTTCCAACTTCAAGTTCTCATTCTGAAATTTGCTGAAACTGGCGGAAGACTGCTTTTCTTCTTCGGGTGTAAAGGTCGAGGTTTGAAGTTTGTTGGCACTTGCAGACTGTTTACCTGCTTCGGGTGTTAAGCTTTCAAGCAGAGACTCTACTTGGTTCAATTCATCTCTAATCGCACGTGTCTGAAGGCTCTCTGTCGGATCTAATTCTAACTGGAAATCCTGCAAATGCTGGGGAGGTTTCTTCTCTCTCGTACTCCTTCTAAGCTTCATAATTCAGAGAGGAGAAAGCCAGCTAAATCGAGCACACGTTAAGAGTTCTAGCAGCGTTCTGACAGTTCTACCGCAGACTCCGGTAAACTAGTATCCAGGCTTCCCTCCTCCCCAGAGTTAAATGTAAATAAAATGAATATTATTACTACGAAAACCTTGACCGGCAGTCGAGCTGAAAAAAGTTCTAAGTGTCACAAAACACGGTTTTGTCTTCTGAGCCCAACGTAAACCAAACGCTAGACTTGAGATCTATAAAGCATTTCAGGATCGCTTGACTTGTCTTAATCGACATATGATAGTTAAGATTAGCTAGAATCTTTCGATTTTGTGAAATTTACGGAATATGGGACTGCCGGCCATTTAGTGTTTTTAACACCTTGACCGGTTACCGGCCATATAGCCACAGCATTTAGCTGAAAAAATTAACAGATTAAAGCTATTTTTTAAGTCAGCCAGTCTGCATTTTTCCCACGCGTGAAAAATTTGCATACTAGAAAAACAAGCAACGGAAGTAATTCTAATTGGCTGATTCGGCAAATTTCAATCAATCAAAAAAGTGGGCGGCAGACGTTTCGTAGAAGGTTTGTATCAGGCTCTCTTTTCGTTTCGCCTTGCCCGCCGGAATGTAATTTTCAAAGCGAAACGAAAATAGAGCATGATCTCAGGTTACTCTTAGATCAAAATTAATAGAAAAATTGCCGACTTCAAAATGATACCATTCGATAACAAACAACAACAACAAGTGAATCGAATTTGTAGAAAAGTTGATACTTTCCTCCGCAAAACTCAAGGTCTCAGAATTAATATAACAAAAAAATGATGGTGGTGGTGGTGGTGGTGGTGATGATGATGATGATGATGATGATGTTGCTGCTGCTTTTGATAAATTAATCGTTGCTTTTTACATGATCGCAATAACACTAAGCTTGCTGCTAAGTTTAGCGATCGCAGTGAAATCGTAGCAATCGAAACCACCGTTGATATCACAGATCAATCTTATTGAAGAGGAATAGCTGAAGGAAAGATGAATGATGCATTGCGTTTTAATATATTATCGAAAAAAAAATCGCTCAATAAATAACTTCATTCTCGATTACAAATTAATTACCAAGGAATGAAACATTAAAAGAAACTCACTCAAGCTGATCATGAGGTCAAAGAAGATCCTTCTAACTCTCGGAAACGCAAATCCGACGTTCACAGTGTGTACAAAATGGCCACGTTACACGTGATAAAGGGCGAAAAATTGACGTGATTGTAGAGAGTGATCAGCAATAGAAAAACACAGGCATGCATGGTACAACTTTCCTTCTATAGATAGTAGCGATCATAGGCATAAAAGTAATGACTTTCTATGACTGGCCATGTCGCCCTTTGCCTGATTATATGTAAAGATTAATTTGGCTCAAGTCAACTGTGATCGAAACACGAGACCATTCGAGCCAGAAGCAATTGAACAAATACTCATTAGATGAGCCATTAAATAGATAAGGGAAGCAGAAAACCACAGGGGCTATAAGTATTTTCAAAAGCGTTTGTTACCATCAAAAACATATTTAATATGCGGAAGGCTTAAATCATGGCCGTTAAACCAAAAATAACATTAAATTGTACATACCTCAGAACTCGTGAATTGCGCACCCATCCGCAGGCGAGTTACCGCGAGGATCTGAAGATAGGTAAGCATGAAATAACTTAGGACATGGAAACTAGATCGTGCTACACACTTTGGGCTTTTTATGGAGAATAACCTGTGGTGTTTTTCACTAGTCTTAGTTATTTTAGTATAAATTCCTTAGCCATAAAAACTGCATACCTAAACTGCAATCATATGATTAAACTCCTGATATTATCATTGTAAGTAGTGCGGCTAAAGAAGGAAATTAATAAAATTTTTGTGTAAAGCTGTTTAGCCTGCGAAAACATCCGTTTTTCTTCGCTCTTTGCCGCTGTTTTCGCAGGCTAAGCCGTTCAGTTGTCGTCATGCTCATTTTATGAGCGTCTTTGAAATTCGAAATTCGGTCGACCCAAAATATTGCCTGTTGTTGGGGACCTAATTGCGCATTGCTGTTGGCCCGGGTACGATCCCTTCTAACTACAGTCAACTCTCTTTATAGCGGACACTGTTGGGACCTCGAGTAAGTGTCCTCATTAACGAGACCCCGTAATAGCAGGATCAGTTTATATTGCCTAAATTTAGCTGCTGTCCATACTGGTCTGGGTGTCCGCAAGGCGAGAGTTGACTGTAAAGGGAAAGTTCTGCCTGTACATTCATGTCTGCAAATGCTATTAAACTTTTTCACTCTTCTACGGTGGATAAGCACGAAAACCGTACGCCCCGTGTAACATTACTTTCAGTCCATCGATGTGTTTCGGACGTTCGGACGTCAAGGACCTCTCTGCGGACGTAATGACCACTCTACTGCCTGTCTTATTTCACAGTCACATTCAGTGTATATGAATGTCACAGCCAGGAGCGGATTTTATAACCCAGTACCAGTTCACTGACAGTAAACAGCGGGCTTCACAAGCTCTGGTAAAGACCGCCACACAGCAGTACATTTTGAATTTTCCTTGATTGAAAACGGCCATCAGGGAGTGGATAACAATTCACGTCGTTAATGTGTGGTTTATCAAAACAAAAGCAAAAAAAAAAATATAGATTGAAACATATTCTTAACTTCGTAAACAAATTAGCTCAGTTGTATTAGTTTCATTCCATTTGTTTCATTCATAGTAAATGATCTTTCAAATCAGGCTTTTGAAAAATGACAGATTTTCTTGCCCTTTCACATGCTTCAACTGGTGAAATCCCTTGCCTTTCATGAACCAAAATCCTGAAAAGGGTTCCCATTCGGGCAGGCAGAGCCTCCTCGTTTAGTAATTTTATAAGGAGTACCCCATCTCCCCGATCTTTTGGACTGTTTACGGTCGTTTCGCCAACGTTCTGTTCGCCATCGTATTAAGTCGTTTCGCAAACGAGCAAGGTCAGTTCCCCAACTTCTTTAACCTAATCAATGGCTTGACGAACGAGTTGTACACATATTTATTGAATTTTTGCCTACCATAGCTGAAAGAAAGAGGTATATACATGTGTGGCGCTCGTTTTGTTGCCTATGCGAAACGAATTAAGACGTACGTGAAAGGGACGTTGGCGTAACGAAGCGTTAGCGAAATGGCCTGTCACCTTTTGGACAACGTTATAGTGAAATGACGAAACACGCTCCATCTAGACGTACATGACGGGTTCCGCTGACCAACCTTGAAAAGGTCCTGGGGGCTGGGGAGAATACTGGCAAGATGGCGTCGAAAACAGAGAATGTTCTCATTTCTTGAACTGCGATGGAATGGAAGAAAAAGAGTCTTTGTGTCTCGAAAAGATCGCGAAAACTTATAAAGAAGTTGAGCGGCAGCTTAATCTTTGGAAGGAAACGGATCGCCACTCAACTGAACAGATAAAGTCACTGAGAAGTCCCCTAGAACAGCTTCACTCGTGCGAGAAAGCTAACTTCAACGACTCCCCACTTAATAACTATGAACGATTGAAGCAAAAACTTCAGTTCAAGCTGCTTAAACAAACAGAGTGTATTATGGCAAAATTACAGCAGGATCTGTAAGCACATTCCTCCTTTTATTCTGTTCTTGTTTGGCGATCACATTAAAAGGTGCCATAAATTATTTGTTGACAAGACAATAAGCTTATTATCTTATCTCGTGCAAAATTTGCACGCAGACGGTTTTAGTTCCCAGCCAGAGAGAAACTTTTCTGTTCTTGGCAACCAAGATGATGTCAGAAGATTTTGTAGCTTAGTTTTAGCTCATTATTAGTTCACTTAGGAAAAAAAACCCTTTCTGGAAAACTTGTACAGTGGCACCTCTGGAGGATACTTTGGGGTTTGGTGACAACCAGAGGTACAGATGGGGTCATAATTTCAATTCAATCCCCCAAGAATTCCTCTGACTTGAAGCAAGCGTACTAGCTAAACTTTTCTTAGAAACTTAATACCAAAACTCTCAAAATGTCCTTTGAAACTATAATGCAATATTTCATCTATAGATTTTTTTTAGGGAAATGTACAAGAGTATTTCAATGAAGTTATCATCACTCTGGTCCAGTACTTTGCAAGTTTACAGCCTCCATTCAAGTATGTAGTAAATCACTGAAAAATTACAACACAGATGTCACTGAAGGCTGTAATCTATGAAAAATTCAAGGGAGCCCAGTGCTCTGAACCTGTGAAATCCAGGATGCCCAGCATATGATTCCTTTGAAAAAAGGCTAAGATTTTGTAGATGCTTGGGAGAAAAAGTTAGGCATCAAGGGCCACCGGGTGCTGCTAAAGCACAGCCTAGTCATTCCAAGAGCAATGACAACCTCGTTACAACTAATATGAACTTGAATTGTTCAAGCTTTTAATACCAAAATGGAGGTGGCTAGCTAGGGAAAGGTACAAGCTCTTATGAGAAATTTCTTAAAGCAACCACCTGGTGACATGACATGCCGCCACAAATAGAATTGGTGATTTCACTTATAACCTGAGTAAACAGCCAGAATTTTGCAATGCCACTACAGGTTCCACACAAAATTACATCTGTGGAACAACTGCAGAATTGTAGTTGAGTAGTGCTTCTGATTGGTTGTCCTCTGAGGAAACTTTGTTTCAACCAATCCAAAGCACTACCCAAACCTGGGTAGTGACATGTCATCAGTATGGAATTTCTGCAGTCCTTCCTCAGATGTCATTTCTCAGGGAAAACAGTGGTGGAGTCGTGAAAAATCTTTAAAAGTACATAATTAAAAAAATTGAGAACTGACAGATTTTTTTGTGTTTCAGGTGCTCTGCCCATGAGTGTAGTATGTGAAGGAAGTCCCACTCAGCCATCGATAGCTGACCTTCTGGAGTGGCTTAGTGATCTTGAAAGAATCCACAATGAGTTGTATCCAAAAAAAAATTAATTATTTCCTCCCTAAAAACTAGCTTCCAAAAGTAAAGTACTTGTAGACAACTGGCCTCAGATGTTCAAATTCAAGTGGATTCTACCCACTGGATAACATAATTGGTTTTTCTAAGTAATTATCTCCTGGATGGTGCTTTATACAGTAGGAAGCACTATCCAGCATTTGAACAACTGGGGCCAGGTACTACTAGCCAGTTGTTGTCCAAAAGTGGATAGCACTATCCACCAAATATAGAATTACTATCCACTGAATAACGCTATTAGTTTTCCTAATTTGTGTTTTACTTATCCACTAGACAGGGATTTATCTTGCCCAGTTGTTCAAAGGGTGGATAAGGTTATCCACTGGATAAATCTCTATCCAATGGATAGCGCATGGCAATTGGTTTTCCTGTGATACATGTACACTTATCCACTGGATAGTGATTTATCTGGTCTGGGCCAGGTTGCTCAAAGCTGGGTTAAGATAACCTTAGGTCAGTGCAAAATTTGAATTCTATAATAGAGGTTTAAGTTCATTTTCCATAATTTGGTGATTGGATGCTCCAAAAAGAAAACCGAAAATTATCAGAGAAAATGCTTTTGAACAAAACAATAAGAAACCTGAGTTAAAATTTATCCCTGGGTTAGGGCTATTCGGCCCTCAAACAACTGAGCCCTGGAGGGTAGTGCTATCCTGGCCTGTTCTCAAACTCATCATGAAAATGTACTGTTAAGTTTTATTTGGGTATGGATAAACCATCAAATGTCTTGAAGGCTTGTATTGAGTTTTGTCTGTTTACAAGAATTAGTGTTGAACATTTGAGTGTCAAAACAGCTGACATTCAGTCATTTCTAATGTTCATTTCAAAAACCTTAGCTGCTCCTTGTGCTTTGAATCCACTTCTCTGTGACTGGATATCAGATGAAAGACTCCCTCTCATGTTTGCTATATAACAATAAATTATTCATTTTAATACAAAGGTTAGGAATGCTGAAAATACCTTTCCTTTTTTTTAAGTTCCAGGCAGCTGAAGAACACCCGTTGTCATTAGATGCAGGGGGTCAATATGATGTTTTCAGTGCTAAATACAGCCTAAAATCAGCATTTCACCATATATATCGTTATCTAGTGGAAAAGCATTATGAAAACCAATTGTATATCTAGTGGATAAAGATTTATCCAGAGTACAATGTATAGTGCTCTCCGTGCTCTCCACCTTTTGAACAACTGGGGCTACTAGACTATTAATTTGTTTTTGTTAATTACAAGACTTCTCAGGGCTCGAAAAAGGCTTCAATTCCAGCTTGTCCTTTGGGCGAGCAGCTGTCACCTTTTACTTCCCTGAGGCAACTTCTTGCTTGTCTTAGTTAATGATTTTGTCAGAGGATGGCTAGCCTGAACCCTTGCCTATTGAGTAAGTAAACTTTAAACGTTACTTGCCCAGCAAGAAAATCTTCTTTCCTGGACTGCGGAAAGGGACTTATTTTGAGCCCTGCTTCTTATGGATAACTGTAATTGGATGGGATTTAAGATCAATTGTGCAAAATGGGACCGTCACTGTCATAAAAAGTAATGGGACTTTTTTTGAGCCCTGCTTCTTATGGATTCTGCAATTGAATGGGATTTAAGATCAATTGTGCAAAATGGAGCCATCACATAAGAAGCCTGTTAAAACAACCTTTGAACAAGGTCCTTGACGCTCTTATCCAGATATGAAGAGAAGACTGACATACTTAGCAAGATAACATACACAACAGCAATGGTTGATGTACACAAGGCTGTCGCAGACTGGACCTCCACACAGGGCAGGCATGCTCATAAAATAAGAGGTAAGGGAAATACAGGATGTATATCCAGATGTGGGAATTGGTTAATGTGTAACAATTTGATTTAGAAGCTTTTGCTCAGCCACTCCCACCTAACCAACTGGAAAGCTTTCCTACCCTAAGTAGTAAAAAGCAGCTGCATTACCGCAGTCAAGGCTCCTTTCACTAGATTTTTATAATAATTTTTTAATTGATTCACAATAACAAAGCCTTCTTAAAAATGTCACGCGACTTTCAGATGGCCCATTTGAGGTTCTCATTTAGTCAGGACCAGCCAAATAAAAGTGAGGCAAGAACTGGGGATTCCACCCTCTCTTCCTTCCCATCTCTTTTTTTTTTTGCCTTGTTCACTTTTCTTTTTGCTTGTCCCGACTGAAAGAATGAAAAACCAAGTTTATGTCATTCTTTTCTGTTCTTAGTCAAACAAATCTTTTAATCGCCCAATGTAAGGGAATCTAAGACAGCCTTGAATTCTGGATTCCGGATTCCATGCACTGGATTCTCTGTCAGTGGAACTTGAATTGCAGATTCCTTGAGATGTATACTGGATTCCAACTTCCAGCATTCCAGATTTTACAAGATTCCACACAAAAAAATTTCCCGGATTCCTTTACTTAGGGCGATTTTAAACAATTTTTAGGTCGTAGAAATTTTACTTTTGGGTATAGTTTAAGTTCAACAGTGCATATTTTTTCTTGTTTTGACTGCTTAGATATCATGGAACAAGTGGCGGTATTTCTGGCAAATAGAACTTAAACAAGCTGGGTTTGGGCTGCTGCTGCTGCTGTACATCAGCAGACTGTCAACCCCTTCATGAGCCTTGCACATCAGTCTTTTGTCATGAACATATACTTTTGAACCTCCATCCATATATTTTTGAACAATCAATGCAGGATAGAGCGCACACTTGCTTTACTATCTCAGTTGTGTTCTCGGTTGTGGTTAGGCCAGTGGTGTGACAAGCTGTGGTATCAACAAATGCTACATTAATAACTAACACTAGATGATTCACTGTTATGATGCCGACAAGGACCATTACGATCTGGAACTACCGTTGAAGCAGATTTTTGAGTCAAACAGTGTCTATTCCTTGCTGTTGGTTATAGAAGTTTGGGTGAAACGAACTTTGAAAACAAATTCTGTTTATTTACATCTTGACAGTCGTGGTCTGTGAGACTCAATACACGATAATAAATACCTGTACAAATACATCAGTGCCAAAAGAAAAGCGCTGAGTATAATAATTTTATACATTTTTTTAGTATCCAATGTTTACTCCACTACAACAGCAAGTGAGGAGTGATCTCAACCTAAACTGTTCATACAAGTTAGGCAAACTTCCAGGATTAAGGACTTGAGTTAACTTTGGATCCCAGGTGTTACACAAAGCCAAAGCAAGTCTTTTCTCACTTTTTCACTGTACAGTCTCAATAAAGTTCTTTGATTTTGCTGATTGATCGCTTCCAGCTTCGTGTCCACCTTTCTTCATTCTGGATTTGTGCATTCATTGCTTCTCGAATGGCCTTCAATCTAGCCTCGAACTTTTCTTTGTAATCCTGAAATGTTTAACGGATGTTTACGGTCAATTTCAAGATAATCCTGGGAAAGTTAAAGAGAACTTTTTCTGCCCCGACGTTAAATTGATAGAAATGATTCTAAATTTCAGGGCCCATAGAGCGGCTCTAATGACGGTTAGCTATAACTCAGGGTTAGAATTTTTTAGGATGAGCAAAGAAGGAGAAGAAGAAGAATAAATTAAGAAAAAAATTTTGTAAAGGTACTACTATCCCTTACATCATAAGCCTTGTTCCGTGAATGGATCACTGCCAAATGACCTTGTGTTGTCTTGACGGTTTTGACGGTGGGGGTTCGTGATGAAAGTTAAGGAAAATCAGTTGCTGGATCTTAAGTAACGCGTCGATAGGTAGTCGCCTTTTAGGCGGTATCTTTCTTTTCTTTCCTGTGTTTTTGGACAAAGATCGAGGCCATAACTGTGGAACTTTCCGACACTGATAATTCAACGCCATCTCTGTTCTAGTTTTGTTCAAAATAAGCAATAATTGTGGAACTTTAACATACGTATTGGCATAAACAATGCCATAATTCAAGTTTTTCATAAAATACTGGTCGAAAGACCCGAAAACTAGAAGAAGTGCTTCTAAATAACAACTTGTTTTGATGTTCGGTCTGTTCAGCTGGGGAGAAGCAAACTGTTAAGTACACAAAAGGATATTAATCTTCTTGTCAACAGACTCTTCCAGCACAAGTTCGTTAGTTGGTAAGCCCTCCCAAACAGTACCTCCAGACGGGAATGGTGCCAGTTTATCTAAAAATGAGATAGGGATAGAAGATTACTGAAAAACAACAACAAAAACAACTTTAAAAGAATCAGGTTATAAAAACTTCAGTCAATGGGCGAATTATTAAAACGGGACACCCTCCCTCGGAGGGAGGGGGGGGGGGGGGGGGGGGGGGGGGGCCCAACCCCCC